TTATGTTTCCTCCTGCTACTGCTCCTGCTCCTGCTACCTGCTATTCCTTCTAGTCAAAAGGGCATCTTCAAAAGGCAGTCGCCTAAAACCGAACCACTCCCAGCGGCAAATCCCCATGGCAGTGAAGGACGGAAAAGCATCAAAATTGCGCCCAAAAACTCCCTAATGTAACTTCTGAAACCTAGAAAAAAATTAGCTATTTTAGCTTCTTTTTCCTCCTGTTTCCGCCTGTTTCCTCCTGCTGCTGCTCCTGCTCCTGCTACCTGCTATTCCTTCTATTCAAAAGGGCATCTTCAAAAGGCAGTCGCCTAAAATCGAACCACTCCCAGCGGCAAATCCCCATGGCAGTGAAGGACGGAAAAGCATCAAAATTGCGCCCATAACTTCTGAAACCTAGAGAAAATGAGCTATTTTAGCTACTTTTTCCTCCTGTTTCCTCCTGTTTCCTCCTGCTGCTGCTCGTGCTCCTGCTACCTGCTATTCCTTCTATTCAAAAGGGCATCTTCAAAAGGCAGTCGCCTAAAACCGAACCACTCCCAGCGGCAAATCCCCATGGCAGGGAAGGACGGGAAAGCATCAAAATTGCGCCCAAAAACTCCCTAATGTAACTTCTGAAACCTAGAGAAAATGAGCTATTTTAGCTACTTTTTCCTCCTGTTTCCTCCTGTTTCCTCCTGTTTCCTCTTGCTGCTGCTCCTGCTCCTGCTAGTCCTTCTGTTCAAAAAGGCATCTTCAAAAGGCAATCGCCTAAAATCGAACCACTCCCAGCGGCAAATCCCCATGGCAGTGAAGGACGGAAAAGCATCAAAATTGCGCCCAAAAACTCCCTAATGTAACTTCTGAAACCTAGAGAAAATGAGCTATTTTGGCTGCCTCTGCTGGTGTCTGCTGCTGCCTGCTGCTGCCTGCTGCTACCTGCTGCTGCCTGCTGCTGCCTGCCTGCTGCTCCCTGCTGCTGCCTGCTGCTGGTGCTGCTGCTGGTGGCTGCTGCTGCTGCTGTGGTGCTGCTGCAATCAAACAGACTCCAAAGCAAGAAACAAACAGCCAGGCACCCTTTTCGAAACACATCCGAAACAGCAAAACACCACCTAATTTCGTGCCCAAAACGTAGCAAAGGAACCCCAAAAAAGGGCCTAACGTCACTTCTGAAACCCTACTATAAAATTGCAACTTTGCCGCTGCCTGCCGCTGCCTGCCGCTGCCTGCTGCTGCCTGCTACTGCCTCTGCTGGTGTCTGCTGTGCCGCTGCCTGGTGCTGCCTGCTGCTACCTGCTGCTGCCTGCTGCTGCCTGCTGCTGCCTGCAGCTGCCTGCGGCTGCCTGCGGCTGCCTGCAGCTGCTTGCCTGCTGCTCCCTGCTGCTGCCTGCTGCTGGTGCTGCTGCTGGTGGCTGCTGCTGCTGCTACTGTGGTGCTGCTGTGGTGCTGCTGTGGTGCTGCTGCAAGCAAACAGCCTCCAAAGCAAGAAACAAACAGCCAGACACCCTTTTCGAAACACATCCGAAACAGCAAAACACCACCTAATTTCGTACCCAAAACGTAGCAAAGGAACCCCAAAAAAGGGCCTAACGTCACTTCTGAAACCCTACTTAAAATTGCAACTTTGCCGCTGCCTGCCGCTGCCTGCCGCTGCCTGCCGCTGCCTCTGCTGGTGTCTGCTGCTGCCTGCTGCTGCCTGCTGCTGCCTGGTGCTGCCTGCTGCTACCTGCTGCTGCCTGCTGCTGCCTGCCTGCTGCTCCTTGCTGCTGCCTGCTGCGGGTGCTGCTGCTGGTGGCTGCTGCTGCTGCTGTGGTGCTGCTGCAATCAAACAGCCTCCAAAGCAAGAAACAAACAGCCAGACACCCTTTTCGAAACACATCCGAAACAGCAAAACGCCACCTAATTTCGTGCCCAAAACGTAGCAAAGGAACCCCAAAAAAGGGCCTAACGTCACTTCTGAAACCCTACTCTAAAATTGCAACTTTGCCGCTGCCTGCCGCTGCCTGCTGCTGCTTGCTGCTGCCTGCTGCTGGTGTCTGCTGTGCCGCTGCCTGCTGCTGCCTCTGCTGGTGTCTGCTGCTGCCTGCTGCTGCCTGCTGCTACCCGCTGCTGCCTGCTGCTGCCTGCCTGCTGCTCCCTGCTGCTGCCTGCTGCTGTTGCTGCTGCTGGTGGCTGCTGCTGCTGCTGTGGTGCTGCTGCAATCAAACAGCTTCCAAAGCAAGAAACAAACAGCCAGGCACCCTTTTCGAAACACATCCGAAACAGCAAAACACCACCTAATTTCGTGCCCAAAACGTAGCAAAGGAACCCCAAAAAAGGGCCTAACGTCACTTCTGAAACCTTACTATAAAATTGCAACTTTGCCGCTGCCTGCCGCTGCCTGCTGCTGCTTGCTGCTGCCTGCTGCTGCCTGCTGCTGCCTCTGGTGGTGTCTGCTGTGCCGCTGCCTGCTGCTGCCTCTGCTGGTGTCTGCTGCTGCCTGCTGCTGCCTGCTGCTGCCTGCAGCTGCCTGCGGCTGCCTGCGGCTGCCTGCCTGCTGCTGCCTGCTGCTGGTGCTGCTGCTGGTGGCTGCTGCTGCTGTGGTGTTGCTGTGGTGCTGCTGCAATCAAACAGCCTCCACAGCAAGAAACAAACAGCCAGACACCCTTTTCGAAACACATCCGAAACAGCAAAACACTACCTAATTTCGTGCCCAAAACGTAGCAAAGGAACCCCAAAAAAGGGCCTAACGTCACGTCTGAAACCCTACTTAAAATTGCACCTTTGCCGCTGCCTGCCGCTGCCTGCCGCTGCCTGTCGCTGCCTGCTGCTGCCTGCTGCTGCCTCTGCTGGTGTCTGCTGCTGCCTGCTGCTGCCTGCTGCTACCTGCTGCTGCCTGCTGCTACCTGCGGCTGCCTGCCTGCTGCTCCCTGCTGCTGTCTGCTGCTGGTGCTGCTGCTGGTGGCTGCTGCTGCTGCTGCTGTGGTGTTGCTGTGGTGCTGCTGCAATCAAACAGCCTCCAAAGCAAGAAACAAACAGCCAGACACCCTTTTCGAAACACATCCGAAACAGCAAAACACCACCTATTCTTGTTGTTGTTGTTGTTGTTGCTGTTGCTGTTGCTCTTGCTGTTGCTGCCATAAAATAAAATTAAAATAGAATCCTGTTGCCTGCTGCCTGCTGCTGCCTGCTGCTCCTGCCTGCTGCTGGCTGCTGCCTGCTCCTGCCTGCTGCTGGCTGTTGCTGGCTGCTGCTGGCTGCTGCTGGCTGCTGCTGGCTGCCTAACGCCGGCTGCTGCTGGTTGCTGCTGCCGGATGCTGCCTGCCAGACACCTACTGCTGCCTGCTGCTGGCTGCTGCTGGCTGGTGCGGGCTGCTGCTGGCTGCTGCTGGCTGCTACCTGCTGCCTGCTGCCTGCTGCTGCCTGGTAGTAAAAGTAGCAGTGCAGTACCTCTTCTTCCCTTACGCGCTCCCCCTTGCATCGGCCGGGGTCAGCGAATTATTATTATTCTTTCCTGGCAGCTGTATGCTCCCCCTTGCATCGGCCGGGGTCAGCGAATTATTATTATTTCTTTCCTGGCAGCTGTGTCATAAACTCTTTTTCCCTTACGCACTCCCCCTTGCGTCTGCCGGGGTCGGCGGATATATGAATGGGATTGAATGGGGATGACACACACGTATATATATATATACACATCTCTTTATCATATCTTTACATATATTAATATAATATATATATATATATATATATTCAATTACATGTGACACACATATATTGCCAACTCAATAAGATATTCCGCTGTGCTTGAGAATTTGGGCATCTCCCTAAAATGGCCTTGTTCAATCCTTTTGATCGTGGAACATTGTGAGAAACAATATGATGGTTCCAAATTTGGAGACAAACCGATGTCAGTGGAACATTAAAACACTGAGGAATCCTGGCTAGACACTATTTTTGGCAAGGTCGGCAGCGTATCTAACATTGGCCATATTCACCGATTATGAGAGAATGTCCCTATTTAAGTTTGGACTTTCCATTGTGGTGGCTGGGTTTCACCAGGAGAAGACTTGTTATTTTTGTTAACCAGCACTCAGCAATCATGCTAGCTCAAGGTTTGCCCACGTGAAATTCACCACATAAACCCTGGAGAAAAATGGGACAGATACCGTGAAGTAACGTAACAACCACCTATAGTTCCCAGAAATGGTTGAAGTTGAAGGGAAAATCTGCAGGAAACCTTCATATTTGGAGCTAAAAGCCATGATTTCCTGTAGAAAAAAGTCCTCGAAGCAATCCATTGAACAGTTCGTTCTCTACATGCGTATGGTCTGTTGAACATGGGGTACCTCAAAATCCTATGGGTGATGATCATTTTACAACGTTTTCCATGTTGCACTTGCCATGTTGGGATATCCCCACATTTTTGAACCAACTCATATAATATGTTGTTTACATCTACCTTCGTTGATGCTCCATTGACTCATAAAATGGCTAAATGAGCAAACATATGGGGCAAGTCCTATTTCTATAGGTCCTTGATTAAATATAGTTTCTTCAATCAGCATATCCCGAACAAAGTGGTCCCTCCTACTTAGCTAAGATGGCGTGTAAGTCAACCAGGTCCAGGATTCGAAATATGTCGAACTAGTTGGATTAGTTCCATGGGTGTATGCTCCAACTTAGCTAACTGTCAGGCACCACCTTGTAGTTTTATCGGTATTCCCATTATATCCGCACATATTGACCAATTCCTATTTCTCAGGGTGAAGTCACTATTGCGTTACAGTCTTACCATTTTTTGATCATTCAATGACCATTCCAGGAATGGTTAAATCACCACTTGAGCTGGTAGAACCAGGAGCCAGGTAGAACCACAAAAATGGTAAGATTCTAATTAGATCAAATGATCATTACAGGATCTACCGTCTTTTATGATCACTCCTGATGGTTAAATTACATTAAATTACCACTACTGCTGCTGAACCCCCCCATGTTTTTACAAGATCCCTGGCCATCGCCATCAGTCCCCATTCAGTCGCCATCAGGCCATCCGCTGCGATGGCACAGTGGTGACTTGGGGCCATCCCAACTGCGGCGGCAACTGTCGCAAGGTGCAGGCGCAGCTGCAGGAGGTGTGGCACATTTGCCCCGGCAATGTGCCACCGTGGCGTGGCGAAACAAATCTGGGATTTCATGGAAGTTGAGATTTCATGTGATTTCATAGGATGATGTGGGATATAAATGGGATATAAATGGGATATAAATGGGATTGAATGGGATTGCGATTTAAAGAGACTTGAGAAAATTTAATGGGGAATGGGAGTTGATGTGTGGAATGATTGGAAGTAGCAACCTCATTTCAATTTTTGAAAAAATGACCATAACAGCCACACAAAAAAGTGGGATCGGGAAAAGATGGGGTTCTGTACGGTGAAGCCAGGATTTTAACTTACAAAGGTTGAATTTTGAGGTGATACAACCAATAACAAACTGAGTTTCAATCAAAAAAGGAGATTTTAATGTAACATATATATATATACACATATACACACACACACATATATATATATATATGCACACAACAAGTTGGATTGTAAAGTCTACGGCTATGGTTCACCGTGTGCCCGGGTCCGCGGGCCCGCACGGTATGGGCTCAAGGATTTGGAGCCCGCGGGGGGCCCGTAGGGCCCGCGAAGCCCGTAGGGCCCGCGGAGCCCGTAGAGCCCGCGAAGGTCGGAAGCTGAGTTGCGGTTGTTTTGACTTTTGCTTACCTGGAGCACCCGAACATCAAAATTGGTCTTACACCCCCAAAAAAAGGCACCAAGATATTCCCTCAACAAATTGGGAGCCAAATAATATCACCCAAAAAATGGGTTTTGGGTCGTATCGTTCGGGATCGATTTCAAGAATGGGAATGATGAAGAAACAACATGACAAGAACTATATGCAAAAAGCAGTGTCATGAATTGCCCCAAAATCATGGAACATGATAGCTTCAAAAAACACCATTTAATGACTAGATATAGAACAGTTTACTGTTTATTTTTCCCAACGATGACATGTAGCATGTGATCATGGGATGTTTTCAACCACGGCAAAAGTTGCATCTGCAGAGGCATCCTTGGGAAACTTGCGGAACTTGCCAGATGAGACCGGTGTGTGGGCAGCTCAGACGCAGTGTTAAGGTTGGCAACGGACTGAAGAGGTGCCTTTTTCAGCATGGCTTTGTATCGTCTTTTCTCCATCCATGAGATACGAGTTCACCAGGGTGTGAAATGATGATGTCTAATGCCTCGAAACACTTAGGGCATCCATTGTTGATTGAACATTTTTTTGCGGGCATTTGGTGGCCCCTTTCAAATCCACTGTCTTGTTACATCCATATGCTCATCGTGCCCGTGACAAGTGACAAAGGCAATGTGCCCTCAAGATGCGGCTCCAGATTGGACCGTCAGAAAAAAAGTATTAAACCTAACTGCTGTGATTTGACACTTTCCAACGCAACCACATGCGCAAGTTTGATGTCCAACAAATCACTTCAGCAGCTACAACACTTTCATTGAATAAACATGTTGACTGACGTTCACTCAAAGCCGTCAGTGATCATTGATCCTGACAAACGGTGCGGCGTGATGGCCGTCGACCAGAGGCAAGCTGCCTGGGACTTCGTGGACCGCAGGTTCAAGCCTGAGGGGCTCTTCGGCGCCGTTGGTGCTGATGTGGTCCGACGTGGAGCTGCCCGAGCCAGTGTCCACGAATTTGGATACAGCTTGTGCTTGCAGGCATCATTGCTAGGATGTGTGAATGGTGCGTCGATAGCAGCATGGCCTGGGAAACCTAGCCCCCTGAGTCTTGTGGTCATGGTGGCAAACCCGCAGCAGACTCGGAAGAGTCAAACAAGCAATGTGATGAATGAGATCGGTAAGGCTGTTGATGCTGTGTGCCGGGAGCGTGCTTCTCAGCTGGGCTTGTCTACAGGGCTTGAGTCGCTTCTGATGACCAGCTTTACGGAGGCTGCCTTTTTCCAACGCACTTCGGCTGGATGGGCTCAGCATGTTTCTGGTGAGCGTTTGCACTTCAGCTCCATGTTGGCCGTGGATGAGTCATACCGACTGCTTCGCATGCTAGGACTTGTGGGAGAGCATGGTAAGAAAGAGAAAGATAGCAGCCCTTGCGATGGAGCTTCGCAGTGGAACACTCTCTTGCAGACGGGGCACAGCAATCTAGCCTGCAAGACCGGTGTGTCTTATCAGGCACACCGGGCTGTCAATGTGGCTGCCGTTGGCAATTTGCATTTGGGGCCATTGATGGCCATGCTCCGAGGAGAGATTGGACAGCACGAAGCAGCATCCCTTGAACGCTTCTTGATTTGCAGTGCCCAACCCGTGGCTCCACATGCCCCTCTGCCAGATGCGCTATAGCTACCTGACAACGCTGAGCGCCTTGTCTGGGTACCCCTGTTGCGTAGCATGCTACAACCTCTAGCCTTGCCAGAGTCGTGTTTGACTGAAGAGACAGCACGGGAATCTTTCGAAGAGGATGCTGATGGTGCTTTCATCATCACCTTGTCAGATGGCACGCAGACTCGGCTTCGTTTCAGACCCATTGCCACTTGGGCCCAGATAAGTTTGAACATGTCATTCCGGTTTTTGTTGGGTTTTGAGTTTGGGAGTTTTCTGAGAAACTCGTTGGAACATGTGCATATGTAGAGCTAGCAATGATAAATGTCTAGATATATGTGCAGTAGAAGCATAAAACACCAATCTAGCAATCCATACTTGTTATGTCTTAAAGCTTTTTTGCGTATGTGTGCGTGTGTACCATTTATATAGACGTAAAACGTCTTATTAGTGCAGGGGGCCGCTGGGGAACATTGCAGTCAGCGGCCAACGAAGACGCTGCAATGGTCCTGTGTAAACGTACCTGCTATATATATATATATATACACATATACATATATAGTCCCGCCCCTGGGCGCATACAAGACGCAGCTGGGGGGGACATATATATTCACCCCGCTTCGCGTGGGGTGGCCGCCCACACCGCAGGTTTATTTCGGTCCGTGAGAGGGGCTAAGGGTGGTTTTCCCCCGTGGGGGCTCCCCAAGCTAAGAATTTTCATTTTCCCCCCGCGTGGGGGCTCCCCAAGCTAGGGAATTTTTACTTTTCCCCCCCGTGGGGGCTCCCCAAGCTAGGGAATTTTCACTTTTCCCCCCCGTGGGGGCTCCCCAAGCTAGGGAATTTTCACTTTTCCCCCCCGTGGGGGGCTCCCCAAGCTAGGGAATTTTCACTTTTCCCCCCCGTGGGGGCTCCCCAAGCTAGGGAATTTTCACTTTTCCCCCCCGTGGGGCCTCCCCAAGCTAGGGAATTTTCACTTTTCCCCCCCGTGGGGCTTCCCAAGCTAGGGAATTTTCACTTTTCCCCGCCGTGACAGCTTCCCAAGCTATGGAATTTTCACTTTTCCCTCCCTTGGAGGCTCTCCAAGCTGCGGAATTTCAAATAGCTAGACAACGACGCCCAGATAGTCCCCCAAATCCCGTGTTCTTTGAATGTGTTTCCATGTTTTTGCAATGGTTTCCTTCAAAGCACGGTACTTTACACTTTTGTCGCCATAAAACCGGTCGAAAACATCATGTTCGACAATGCTTCCAATTCCCTTATCTCCCAAACCGTTGAAAATACCGCTATTTACAGTGTTTTCTTCAATTTTTCCATGTGCCAATGCCGGTAGCCAACTCCAACATATATATATATAAGAAATCCTTCCAAAACATTGTTTTTGACAGTGTTTTTCCAATGTTTCCAGTCAAACAGATGGTAATTTACACGTTTTTTGCCATAAAGGCAGTAAATCCTTCCAAAACATTGCTTTTGACAGTGTTTTTGTAATGTTTCCAGTCAAGCATACGGTAATTTACACGTTTTTTGCTATAACGTCAGTCCAAAACACTTGTTTTGCAGTGTTTTCAATGCTCTGGCATCCAAAAACCCTGCAAATTCTTGCTATGTACAATGTTTTTTTTCATTTTTGGCCGTTTTTCCATTGCCGGAAAGCTACCAAAATGACCCAAAATTCCATTTCAATACCCTCTTGCGCTCAGACACCCAAAAATCCTCGAAAAATGTCGAAAACACCACCGTATTCTGGTCTCGGTGCGAAACCGTTTTTTGCCCCCCCCCAGCTAAAGCTGATATAGCGACTGCTATATTAACAAATGTCATTGAGCATTTAGTGTTGCTGTTTTGCCCCCCAATAAGCACGCCTTCACCGCCAAAGCGGTGTGGGCGGATTTTATCGCTGT